CGTGAGTAGTAGGTGACCCTACCTGCAGCAGAGTGCACATATGCCTCATCACACCGTCAACCAGAGAAAAATCAATCATTGTTTCTTCCCAATTACTCACATTAAGATTTAATCAAAGCATGCAAGCCAATCAGGGTTTTTTACCACTGCCATCTGGATCCCAGCTATGGCGGGTGTGTGGTATGTCCTGTGGTGCAACGATCAATGAGGAGATTTAGAAAATAACTTTTGTAAACATTGGGGAAATAGAATTGTTTCTACCGCAAAAGAACATATAACGATATCTGATCTAATTATTGCTACTTGTTTAGGCACCCCTGGAAATTTTCCGTTTTTCCTTGTTTTAAAGATTTTCTTAACGTTTGTCAAATTGCTGTAGGTAAACAAAAAAAAATTATCAGTTGTTTCTAAGGAATATCTTTTTAAAAAAAACTAGTGGAAAAAAAAGTTGTTATAAAAAGTCTGAAAAAGATGGTCAAAATAGGCTTATGAGGAAACAACCACATCATTTATCCTCAGTTTTCTTAGTTTTATATTTTAAATTCAAAGCAGCAGCATAGATCAAAACAAGAATAACAATTGTTCTGGCCTTATTTGCATCTTAGGTAATTCCTACAAAATTACAACCCAAACCAGACAAATCCCATATTGTAAAGATTATATTCTAAAATTCCCATTTATCCTGAAAATGATATGCTTGTCTCCAGTGTCTCAACAATCAACCACTCATTAATATTTCACTTATTCTCCAATACCATCTGTCCAAGACCTGGTAACACATCCAGGTTTTTGTATCAAGCATCTCATGCCTGTAATCCAGTGTTTCCTGCATATTTCATCACAACACAGGTTTAACAATGGCTTCTTAATTTACAACAAAACAGTAAATACCATGAATCATCTGTCTGGGGCAAGACTTGCATGTCAAACAGACATCACATTATGTCTGGCATTTCTGGATCATATTAACCAACTCAAGAGCTGCTTGAAATTCTTACAACCTTATACAACCTGTATGTGTCCGGAGTGCATGTAAACTGAATATTCACCCTCGAATGGAAGTTGTACGTAATATGATCTTAAATACACAACATGCCTAAAAGCTGCAATTTGCACTCGGAACGATAAATACACAGACCCAACTTAGTCACTGAAGTCAGCTCTTAACAAAAATGACATTGCATTATATGCACATATATTTCCTGTAGCTCCTCACAGTGACGATTTTTCCCTTTGCCATGTACACCAACAGCAAGGTCAAGATGTCATGAAGTGGAGTTTGGAAGTTCTAATAAAAGCTGCTTTGGAACTCTTTCTGTGCTTAGACATCATTTGTTGAAGACATCATGGGTTCTATCTGTTGGTTATTTGGTCATATGGCAAACCAAGAAAAGACCTGAAATGACTTAAAGTCACTTGCCCAGTGAGCGTGTCCATAGTCTGTACTCACACATTGTGCATAGTGGTAGTGGGGCGGTAAGACATTTGGGAGGGATTGTTCTTTTCAAGACTAGTTGGTCCTGCTGCCAAGTAGATTCTTTTTTCTTAAAACTTCCTCTGAGTCATGGGTTCTGTGTACTATCTAAACTGACAAAAACCTGGTGTTCTATTTTTAGCCAATAACTGTTTTGGGTGTACCCTTTCGTTCAACATCCACAAAGGAAAATGTGATGTAATAAAAGTCAAAATGGATATGTATGTTCCCAAGCCCCTGAAGATAAAACAATCATTAACAGATTACAGCTCTGATACATCACTTCAATAACATATGATCTTGTTTGCCCAGCATACAGTTCCGTTTCCTTTAAATAATGAGAGTCCTCACTCTACCAAACTCAAGCAGCTGTTGTTCTGTTATCAAGAAACAGGCATCAACAGATGGAGGTCTGGCCGAGAAAGAGGACAAAGTAGTTTGAACCAATATGGAAACACCAGTCAGATAGCAGGACAGAGAGATCAAGTGAGGGATATTTGACACTGTTTATGACAATATTCCAGGGATGAATGATAAACAGGAAACACTAAAGAAATCTCAACTCATGTAAAACCAAAACTGAAACATAAAACAAAATCTTCCTACAATCACAGACTTACTGAGTGTCCTTGTGTACTCCACACAGCTACACATGATTCATACCACGTCCCTCCCCTCCGTGTGATCCCCTGTACAACACGGGGACATGCACCCTATACAACCTGGCAAGGTGGAGTGTAACAGTGCTTGGTGATCCCTCAACCAAAACACTCACAAAGGTAGTGGTTACTGCAAGACTGTAAGAAGCTGTGACACTTAAACTGGTGACATGAATGACAGCAATGGAAACTGCTGAGAAACCTTGTCAACTTAAAAGTCAAGGCATGATAAGGCCCCTTTTGGGCCCACGGGATACACTTCACCATGAAAGACTTTGTTCATCTAAACGAGGACTGCGTGGTAGAACCAAAATACTGCAATACGCTTTTCATACTATACGTATTTCCATAGGTCTGTTATTATTTGGGTCGTTCAACCAAAAGTCTACACAGAAGTTCAGTCACAAATTATGTTTGCCTTCTAAATTGATTGACAAACGGAGGAAAGCGAAAGTGATTAGTTTTGCATGTAGAAAACAGGATCTGCATGTACAAACAGTGTCAACACTGTCAAACTAAAAAAATATGTATCGCAATACAGATACCTATATCGCAATATATTGCAATATAATTTCTTTTCTAATACACAGCACTAATTTAAACACACGTCTGTTTTGGACATCACCACACAACACTAATGAGTAGGAAAGTCTAAATAATGTTAGACGCTGACCGACAGTGCTGTTTTAATATTTGAACATAAGCAAGTCTTTGCCTTTGCCCCATGTGTAGGAAAGAACAAAGGCAAGTTGCCAGCCACTAGAACATGTCTCCTATTAGTCAGTATTTTCAAATAATTTTTCAGTGACTCATCATGTTATGGAAGAGCTTTTCAAGTCAATCAGTTATCGATATGAAGTACTCAGTGTTGGCTGAAGAGCGCGTTTTTGCGTCTTGGACGCACAAAAATAAGTTTGAACGCACCTGCGTAACATGTGTGGGTCTCGTGGACGCAGTGACTGGAGCTATATTAATTTCATATCGAATTGACACTGTTATCGTACGTCTTTGCGTAAAGGTATTTGTTGCAAAACAAGACAGCGAAGCATGTTGATTAACACTTCCGTTTGCTAAACCAAACCAGTTTCATTATTCTCTCCCTTTTTATGACAAATACCCAAACCGGTTTCTTGACCTATATCTATTGTCGGTTTTGCATGTATTAATTTTCGGTATGGTCCGTAGCTTTGCTTCAGCCAATCAGGTGCCACATATTATGCAAGTCGGATATAGTCGTAATTAATTTAGCTTGCTGATTGGTCGAAAATATCCTGACCTTGTGTCAAACTAAAAATAGCCAGGCACATCAAGGGTATACTTCAGAACGTTGTAACAGTGACCCGCGAAATCGAGCGACCGTGTAGGATGATACACTATTTTATCGCGGTAGTTAATTTATAATGGATCGTAGTGGGGAACGCTTACAAACTTATTAAATATGTGATTCACAAAATGTTTGTTGTTCATTGGATTGATTGATGCTGATTTTCTTTACCGAGTTCGGTAAACAAAGTACCTGTCATTGGTGAATCTTACCGCAGTAAGAAAGGCTGTGTGGATTATATGGTATATCACTTCCTGTTTTGAATTTTGCATACGACCGAGGTTTGATATTTTGCAGTTGCGAAAAGATTTCTTATTTTTCACAACCACTGTGTTCTGTTGTTAATGTTACGTTATAATGCTATAAATTGGACCCCTCCATTTTTGTTTGGGACCCCTAATTTTATGATGAAGGGGTCCAAGTGACCCCAAGAAAATTTAAGCCAGAGCAGACACTGAGTACTGTTTCTGGACATCATGGTGACAAAGTGAAACATACACATGACATGTCATGACCATCTACGGCGGTGTACAAGTACCATCTTTTAAATCTGTTGATATGACCGCCCAGGAAATTGAACCACCGACATTCCGCACTCTGGTGCAGACACTCTTTCCTGTAGATGATGGAGGCGTTTGGTGGGGGGAGTCAACAAAGGTTGTTGTTTTTATCAAAAGTACATGACATATATGAAAGTGATTAAATGTCTGCCAGTTTTTCCAAATTGTACTTTAATTCATTTATCTTGAACAGATTTGAAAATTACTATCTGTACAGGGTTAGACATGGCCATTAGTCTGTTAGTCCGTATCTAGTGAAAATCCAGAGGGACTAGTTGTTTTCTTCTGAAATCTAGCTATTTTACATAAACCACTAGTCCGAAATGAAGTGCTGACTATTTGGATTTGACCAACAGTGTCTACCCATGCTAAACACTGACTACTGAAACTAAACATGCTTCTGAGGATTTATTATGAGTGAGTGAGTAAAGTGAATTTATGGACGCTTTGAACAGTACAACATGGAACCAAAGTCCACAATGACACATGTCGTAAACAGCCATCACTTTAGTGGGCATGTGTTGACAGATAAAAATATAATCTTGACCTCTGAACTGCAACAAGTAACACATTAAACAACTAGGCCACCCCTGCCCTCCCCCCCCCCCCCCCCCCGATTCATCTAATCAAATGACACATATTTGGTCGTTGCCGGTCAGTACGTATGTATGTCAACAAATGGTCTGTTTATGTCCCTTCTCCAAGCGAGCCCGCAATACCTCCCACTGGTACTGTCATAGACAGGCAACTCAAGCAGAACTATCACAACATCTCTCAAACAAGTCACCTGAGGTCAGCAAAATAGATGACTGATCACACAGAAATATACATATCACCAACATGGCCATGTTAACTGAATGTACATAGCATGCGCATCAGTGACTCAATGGGAGATCTATACAAGGGAGATAACTATACACAGGGGAGATAACTGATAGACAGGGGAGATAATTCATTAATTGATACTGACAATACTCAGTTACCTTGGTTACAGCATGTCGTATCAATGTTTCCTTTTAAGGCAGCTAAGACCTGAAGCGACAAGAAGAAACGGCCTGTCAAATAGCTGGCATATTGTTGAGTGTGGAGTCAAACAACAAACAGAAAAATACAGTCCTAATCCAAAGCCCTGGTTCTCATTTACAAATTACACTCCTAGAAATGGGCCTGTTCTTAATAGACATAATGTTGGAACTATTTCAATTTGAGCCAAGAATAGGAACAGACAAAAACATAAGGATTTTAGAATATTTGCAAGTAAGTCTACAGGAACTGTCAACCACATGACATACAATTTCTTTTGACCGCATGGAAAATTGTACTCTTCAAGCGTAACCTTCAACCAAGAAATCTCTATCACCATCAGCCCAAACCAACACCCATCAAGGCCACAGTCATGGATTATTCAAGGGCATCCGGTAGTAATTAGGGGTTTTCCCATCTAACATGTCTCTGTGGCATGGTTTGTGTGCACTGGGGAAGACATTAGCCCACATCCAGCGTTCCACTTTCAAAAAGAGGTTCACTTTGAATCAAAAGATAAATGAAGAAAAAAGTTTTGTCCCTTTCTCATTTTATGCTGCATTATCCTAGCTATACTGCTGACGTAAAGTTAGGGAACTGATGAAATGATAGTGAAGGTGTAATGAAGCTAAATGTCTGTCAAATTAATTTTAGGCATGAAATTCAATATCTGGTGTGTGCACCATGTTGGGCGGTACGTGGACGACACCTTGATGGCATACTGTTGATTAACTTGTGCCTGGTTGCCCTTGGTATTGCCTGACATTCTGCCTGAAGAACTACCACAAGTAGGGCCATATTGGTGGGTGCTGGGTCTCTACTCTCTCTGCATGGGAACATCCCACAGATGCTGTATTGGGGACATGTCAGGGGACTTAGAGGGCCAGTCCAATGTCCAAATGCCTTCTCGTCAGAGATGATCGGTGACTATTTGGGCACCTTGCGGTCTGACATTGTCATCTTGCAGTTCAAAATTTCTGCTGATAATTCTAGCGAAAGGAACGACAACATATCCCGGGCCAGTCAAATTCACAATAATCAAATCAGTTCACCTGCCATGTATGATACACCATGACACTACCGCAACCATATTGATCATGGTCAAGTATTGTAGCCCTGGCATACCACGCCCGCTACATCTCCAACAACGTTTTCTGCCATCTGTGAATCGGAGGCAACACCTTGATTTGTCTGTAAACATGGTGTAAGGCCACTACCTCCCAGCCCGTCACTGGTGTTGCCTAGCCCACCCCAATCTTTGCCGCCTATGGTAATATGTTAGGGTGACAACCTTCACGGGACAGCTTGCTTTCAGGCGGGCTGCATGAAACTGGTTTTGAAGGTACATGTTGAAATTTACCTTTCTGTTATTGTACGGAATTCTCTATAGATAACAGGAGCAGATTTGAATCTACTGTGTTGTGCAATCAATGTAATCGAAAGATCTTGTCTTGGTGTCCTTGTTTTAGACCTGCCACGCCCAGGACTCATTGCAACCCCTCCGATGGTACGTGTCCCACAGTCGAGAAATTACCCTTTTTGTTTTGCCAACATTCGGGCAAAACTACTACCAGTTGCCCTCCGACAGATTTTACTTGCGCAGAATGAAAAACATTATGATATTTCACCAATGTTATTTTCAAATGTCTGAGCTGTAAATGACAAGGCTTGTTAGTTGCTTAAAGCCACACTCAGCAATATTCCACCTTCGTGACAGTGGTCTGTAAAACATTGAGGCTGTTCAAGACAATCCAGTGATTGATATTATGAGCATTGATCCCTTTATTTATAGGATCCAACGACATACAATCAACCAAGTCACCAAGTCTGACCACCCAATCCATTTAGTCGCCTAACTAGAAATGTCTTGTTATAGGTCAAAACTACAAAACACCAACAAAGGAAAGCTGGTCATTCTACCTGATGCCTGAAGGTTTCAATTCCATATGATGAAAACATTTATGAAATTTCACCACATAATTCTCAACTTAAGCTGCTGAACAAAGTGTTATTGGCATCAAAGGACTATTTATCGACTCCATGTGGAACTAGTTTGATGAGATAAGTGCACAGAAACTGCTGAATCACCTGAGTTGACATAGAGCCACTTGCCATGTCATGGGTTACTGGAAACAGTTTCTTTCATGACCCATTCTGTGTAAAGCGGATTCATGGCCGCCATCTATCAGAGCTTCACCAGGTCGCGCCACAACCTGATCACTGGACACTGACAACTTCAAAGACAATTGTTCCACAACAACAAAAGCCAGTGGTCAGTTCTGACATAAGCATGCTATTGCTTACAGTTTGATGACCAACCGTCTCAACTGGTCAGGTTCAGGGCAGAAATAGAACGCCGGGTCAAAGACCTGTAGGAGTCATAGATGTATAGACACGGTGTAGGTTAGGCTACATAATACAATGTTTTGTTTCCCCTTCACTTTTTAAAGACAATTTTGGTAAGTAGCAAAAAAAATAAAATTGAATTGTTCTAAATGAAAACAATCAGATTACTTTCTTTGTTTGTTTGTCTGTTTGTTTAATGCCGCACTAAGCAATATTCCATCTATATGACGGTGCTCTGAAATTAATCAAGTCTGGACTAGACAATCCAGTGGTGGACATCATGAGCATCATGTTATGCAAGTTGCATCAACCGAGTCAATGAGCCTGACCACCCGATCCCGTTAGTCGCAGGTTGCTGAAGACCAATTCTAATCTGGATCTTCACAGAGATGATATTAAGAAGTAGAGGGTAGGTATATATGGTCTTTATTAGAAAATAAATCATGCACATCAGGACCAAAAATATTAAAATAAACGACTTTGAAATAGAAAATATTACATAACATAACCCAATGGAACAAAATGAGGAAACAGAAAAGAATTTAGCATGCTAAGAATGTTTATGATACTTTGTGTTTAGAGTTATTTGGAGAATAAGAAATATTTGTTGAGTGGCCTCAGGTCCTGCAAATCTGGTACTGAACGATCATGACAATATTATCCTTCCAGCTGAAATAGCTTATCGATGAAAACTGACATTTGTGTTTTTTTTATCTTAAAAGATGTGGTTGAAATAATTGAGCAATTTAGATAGCAGTGAAGTGCTTGTCATTAGTGCTAGACTGATGTTAGTAATGTACACAAAAATCAATGGCTGACAAGAAAATCAATATGTATCAAATATTTAAACATAGAGACTCCCATGAAGCTATTGCGGCAAATAAACGGAGAAGGTCTGTTTAATACACAAGTCCTTAGTTTCCAATGTCTACTATTAACCAAACCCAATGACAATTCTTTGAATAAAATATGTTTCAAGTAACCAAACACAAGTGTAACTTAGACATAAATCAGTGTTATGAAGGGCAGCACACAAGCATATGCTATTTAAAAGTTACCTGTGACAGCATAGAAGTAGAACTATTTGAAAAATGTCTACTCACAAAACCCAACAGACGGGCCCCAAGAGGGTAACAAATTACTGACGCCCCCACCCTGCCTTAAAAAATAATAGGCAAATGGGAATGATAATGTTTGAGTAAATGCTCAATGGCCCTGAGCCCTGGAGCCCTGACTAGTGTCAGGTATTGGGAACTGAGGACCCATTCCATCCAGATACTACAGATGATCCTTGCCAGGCTACAACTGTATCTCCAGTGTCATGTATGGGGAACTGAGGATCCATTCCACCCAGATACTGCAGATGATCCTTGCCAGACTACAACTGAATCTCCAGTGTCAAGTATTGTGAACTGAGGACCCATTCTGCCCAGATGCTGCAGATGATCCTTGCCAGACTACAACTGTATCTCCAGTGTCATGTATGGGGAACTGAGGCCCCATTCTGCCCAGATACTACAGATGATCCTTGCCAGACTACAACTGTATCTCCAGTGTCAGGTATTGGGAACTGAGGCCCCATTCTGCCCAGATACTACAAATGATCCTTGCCAGACTACAACTGTATCTCCAGTGTCAAGTATTGGGAACTGAGGCCCCATTCTGCCCAGATACTACAGATGATCCTTGCCAGACTACAACTGTATCTCCAGTGTCAAGTATTGGGAACTGAGGCCCCATTCTGCCCAGATGCTGCAGATGATCCTTGCCAGACTACAACTGTATCTCCAGTGTCATGTATGGGGAACTGAGGATCCATTCCACCCAGATACTACAGATGATCCTTGCCAGACTACAACTGTATCTCCAGTGTCATGTATGGGGAACTGAGGATCCATTCTGCCCAGATGCTGCAGATGATCCTTGCCAGGCTACAACTGAATCTCCAGTGTCATGTATGGGGAACTGAGGATCCATTCCACCCAGATACTACAGATGATCCTTGCCAGACTACAACTGTATCTCCAGTGTCAAGTATTGGGAACTGAGGCCCCATTCTGCCCAGATGCTGCAGATGAACCTTGCCAGACTACAACTGTATCTCCAGTGTCATGTATGGGGAACTGAGGACCCATTCTGCCCAGATACTACAGATGATCCTTGCCAGACTACAACTGTATCCCCAGTGTCAGGTATTGGGAACTGAGGCCCCATTCTGCCCAGATACTACAGATGATCCTTGCCAGACTACAACTGTATCCCCAGTGTCATGTATGGGGAACTGAGGACCCATTCTGCCAGGATGCTGCAGATGATCCTTGCCAGACTACAACTGTATCTCCAGTGTCATGTATTGGGAACTGAGGACCCATTCTGCCCAGATGCTGCAGATGAACCTTGCCAGACTACAACTGTATCTCCAGTGTCAGGTATTGGGAACTGAGGACCCATTCTGCCCAGATACTGCAGATGATCCTTGCCAGACTACAACTGTATCTCCAGTGTCAAGTATTGGGAACTGAGGACCCATTCCACCCAGATACTACAGATGATCCTTGCCAGACTACAACTGTATCTCCAGTGTCATGTATGGGGAACTGAGGACCCATTCTGCCCAGATACTGCAGATGATCCTTGCCAGACTACAACTGTATCTCCAGTGC